GGACTGCCAGGCGCTGGCTCACTAACTAACCATCTCCCCTCTTTCATTTGATGTCTCTCTAATGATGCCACGATGATTACATGTGTCTCAAATGCTCATCTGTCTCTTGTTATCTAGGTTCTCCATTTAAGCAGCTGGGATGAAAAGGACCTCAATATCTTGAAGTCATGGTGCGTAAAACTAATTTACTGTGGATGCCACGCAAATCCTTAACTGTAAAAATTTACTACTCCAAAGAGGTTCAACTTTTTAATGACTTTTTTATATTCGCAGAGTAGAGAGCGCCGAATTTCCCCGAACGTAGCAGAATATGATAAAAATATTATTTTGAAATTAGACATTTTCTGACGTTTTCCTGGAACAGAGTGCGTGAGAGGGATCTTTGCGTGATGGCGCATTTCAGTCCTGCATGCAAGCAGTAATGTCATTGGTCGATATATCGCAGTCTATACAGCGGAAATTACCTATTCTCTGGAACCCTGTCAGCAAATAGCCTCTCCTCCTAATGGTTTTCTATAGAACGAAATGATACGCGTTATCTTTCGAACACTGGGAGTCATCGAAGGTAAGACCCCTCATGTTACATCATTATCAGCATATTCGTCATCGTTATCGTTATGATCGTATTCGTGGCCAACAGCAATTTCCTGGAGGGCTTATCGAAAATAAACGAGTAAGTATCTATCATCTGTTACTGCGTCGTGAAAGTGACGAAAAGGAATTATTTGAACAGCTGGACGGGCAGGCAGGGGACTGTCACGGGGGATGCATTCCAAGTAGGGAAAACTACGTTTTCTCCAAATGGTGTGCGACAGGGGAATCTTAATCGTTTCAGCGTCCATCGCTTGATGGAGGCCGAATGATGCTCTTCCCTAGGGACAGGTATTGTGAGGCAGATGCATTCTTCTCCACAATGCCCTTCCTTCTAGGTCTAAACTTTTACGGTGTTTTATCGCTTGTGTCAGACTTTTTTTTCTACCTTCTTCACATCCATGCCATGCAATGAGGCACTTCCCATATATGAAGTCTGATTCGAGCGAAAAACACTGCATCGCCTTGTACGAAGAGTTCAGGGTGGGCGAATGTTATTCTCTTGAATGGGTGTTCCTTGAATTTTGGCACGTGTAGGAAGGGATCACAATTGCGAAAAATGCAGATAGTTGATGCATGCACAATGTGAAAGTGCGGGGTAGTGGTGTCCTGTTTGTATTATGTACATATAATGTACGGACAAATACTGCGATTCTTTTCCCGATGAACTCAGTGGAAATGTGAAGGTCTTGAGGGAGAAGCATGCATACAGTATATTATGTATACACAATACGTATAAATATATTAGGTACGAAAGGGATAAACACCAGTACGGTCATTCCGGGGTACACACATCGACATTCGGTCCACCGAGAACATTGAAAGTGTGAGTAACATACGATGAATTCTCCCACAGGAGCATGATGTGAGTATGAATGTCTGTGTAGGTGGGTAAGACCAGGGAGTACGAGGGAAAAGATCACGCACTGAATGAGGCTTGGCCTTTAGAGCACCATAGGATCACAGTGGTGGCGGTGGTGGTCCTGGTGGCGGCACCCGGCACCTCTGCCAGTGTTGCCGGATCTGCTACCCGTGTACCCCTCCATTCGCGCAGCTCCGTTTCCCTCCAGTCTGTCTCGCAGCTCTGGCTCCCCCCCCCCCCCCCATTTCCTTTCTCCCCCCTGACACGGAAATCAAACATTGGGGTCATCCGCTGAGCGTCTCACGAAACCCGAGGAAATAGGATTCCCCTCTTGCCTTGCTATAGAGTTCTCGCAGCTGCCGCTATGGTGTAGGGAGAAAAGAAGGAAGAGAGCCATAGGTTTCTTTCCCGCTTAAAAGGACACTTTAGGTTTTCTCTATGAGACAAATGTGGACTTTTTTTTTTTACGTCGCTTCCTTCACATTTGAGGTTTTTCTGACACATTGTTAGATACAATGTTTTGCCGCAGACAGGACGGCTCTGCACAGGTTGCTGAGGCCGATAACGGATAGATCTGTTGGATCCTTATCTCAGAGATAAGAACAGCAGGAAATCGGGACAGAAAATACGTAAAAGCAACCATGCACCGCTATTGACAAAAGTGTTCGCGTGAGAAGAATGAGATACTGCTTCGCAGTGAAAACCTAAAACCTCCCGCAGTAGATGCGCGAACTGTACTGTTCCTGATTTACATTGTTTGAAAGTGAAACTGCATCTGCATCACTTAAGGAACAAATCTCCATCATTCGAATAAGGATTGTTCATACCATTGGCACATGACTTCACTGTAGGCAGCTCGAATGTCTGGCTCTCAAAGGCAGAGCAATCCGTAAGGGGTGCCTCCCGTCAACTTTTTTCCCCTTGACATTCTTGGTCAATGGCTGCTCTCAAATGTCCAATCTGATTGGCTATCTGGTTATACATCGTTTCACTGCTATCACCTTTCCCTTTTAGTCCAACCCCTCATTTACAGCTAGAACATTCAGCTAGAACTGTGGCTAGACCACATTGTCAATTGGATTTGAAAATCCGTCGTCAATCTTAGCTTGGATAGGAATAGTAGGATAGTTCCAAGGAGAAACAACCCACGTCCGTACTGTTAAGTTGAAGTCAGACCGAGAGATACTTAAAGAAAAGACTACATAAAGTACATGTGAAAACACATGTTGATATCAGGAAAGCAAAAGGTAATCGAGACGATGGAGTGAGCGAAAAGAGAAAGGAATAGCGAGGTTATGTTGTACCTTCCTCCTCTGTTGACCTTTCAACAAGTGAACAAAGCCTTATCTGGCACAAGCCAGATAAGTCGCTTCACCTTCATCTCGAAAGCCTCCACGTGCCGTACACGGATGCCATGAGACATCAGGGAAGGGCCTCTGGCGTTGGCTTTGGCTCAGGTGCGAAACGTACATGCCTGACTAAACTTGAATTGCAGTTTTGTCGGGAAGCGTTTTCACTGTAATTTTAAAGCCTTTCTTTGTCTGGAATCGCTGCGGTGGCAGCGGTCAGAGTGAAGGTAACCTCAGACAGAAAGTGCATCGGCGTTGCGGGACGTTTCCCTTCCCGGGAAGACATTCCCTTGGAATAAATAAACCAATAAGTCCCTTTTCACTTCGGAAAAAAAGCAATAATAAACACACATCAAGACTAGTGCGGAATATTTGAGTTTAGTGTAACATGACAAGCAGGACCGCAAATCCTTGCGCACGTGTGCCGTTTTGTGTGCATACAAATTGATTGGAGGGGCTGCGCCGATGTACGCACTAAACCTCACGATACCTCGTCTGACCTCATGATACCGTCCCAAGAAGTCCAAATTGCGTTATTCAAGGCGTTGCCACTAATCGAAACCATATTTGATGTCTGCATTTTCCCCGGGGAGGGGATTTTACCTGTATGTTTGCCCTCGTATCGGTATATTTAGCAATTGTTAACTCCATTGCATCAGTGATTATTGGGGGAAAACGAGAGAAACTCGGCTACTCCTAAATATCGACTTCTTGCAAATGGCTGAAAATCCTCGCAAAAACGTGACAGAGCGATGAGATGTTAGGATCGATGGTTGCTCTCCAACCAGGTCTCAAAATGACTCCCATTTGTACGAACTTCGAGCAAAAACTTGATAACAGAGCTTTGATTGTGATGCTAACCTTCTAACGTGGGTTTTAACGTTGTCTTACAATGGCTGGATGAGGTACACTGACCGAATCTGAAGAATAGACATATTCCAATCCTTTCACAATTTCCTCCAAATTTCCTCAGATAAGCTGGAGAGTAGATACTACAAAACATGACCTTAGGTGCACTCACCCCTATGGCTCCCTGCTGACAATTTGGCGAAATACGCTCGTACTGTTGTCGCTACATGTAGGGTGGATTTTTGAACAGAGAACTATCCGATAATGCTGCTTTATTTCCAGGAAATATCATGTATTTTCCCTGGAATAAAGCTACATTATCGGATAGTGTTTTGTTCAAAAATCCATCCGTAGTCTTCAAGCGTTTTAAAAATCTTTCAGACTTCGTGTGGGGCGCTACAAAATTAGTGGAGCTTGAGTCATGGTTATTCCCAACTTAGAGAAATTACGTGATGGACGCAAGAGTCCATGGAGGGGGTTCATGGGAAGTTTAAGGGTGAAAATGAATCCGATTACGATTTTTCCCCCAAAATTCAACGACATTGAGGCTGCCCTCTAATTTCTGAGGCATTGTAGAAATTTTGAGAAATTATATCGTGAGGTTGCGTTGCTCAAGATGGTGACTGACGCTACACCTAAAATCTCATGCTTTTTTCGATTGTACCGTTCGCACATACGTCATAATCTTAGGTTCAAAGGCCAACTACTGGGCTAATTTAGAACGACTTCCTGAGATGCATGAGAGCGGAATGGTTCTGCTTTCAAAATTCAAGTGGTTAGTGAGCGACATCGGATATCTCTCACTTTGTTTCCATTATTTGCAAGTTGCAAAACTGGAGATTGCATTCGGTGAAGTCGAGCATCACGTCACTTATTTAAGCGATGACGCTCTTTTTTTCTTCTTCTTCTTTCCCCTCCGCCTATCGGTTTTTGTTCCTCATGCCTATCCGTTGTGTACTCTTTTGTTCGGTTTGTGTATTCCCCTTATATCACCCTTTCATTTTGCTTCTGTTTCAATTCTCTCCCTTCATGTTGTATGCCCTATTTATTTATTTTTCCTTTCCTCTGTTTTATTTCGTTCGATTGGTTAATGCCATGACCCCCCGGCAGTCATAGTGTGCATACGCTTGTCAAACAAAGCTGAACTGAACTGAACTGAATTACTCTAGAAATCTGCGACTGATTCGTCCGAAACGCTCCATCATGGCGCCCTGCATGGCCTCCTTGTATGAACACGATATTTTCGTCTGCTCTTCTGTCATTGACACGAGCCTAAACCTCGGCTCAACTCTAATTCCTTGTCATTCAGTTTAGTATTTTTTTAAAGTTTAATTCCAGTTTATAGCTTAAGGCCAGTTTCAATTTAATCTCTCTTCAGGTTACCATTGCGCTTTCAGTGGCATGAGCATGCCCATTCCTTTGATATGGTTGTGCCTGCAGCATTCCTGGTAGTAGGACCGTCACGGCATCATGAGGGCTTTGAAGTGAATTCGACATCTCCATGCGATAGACCTGTGACTGGCAGTGTGTGCAGACTAAGATTTGGCATGTCGTATGAGCCTTGTGATGTATACATCAAGTTCTAACTTAGACCAACGTGCGGAAAATTTAATGGTCTTCGGGACGTGAAAGGCTAGCCACTCATCATGACTGACGACAAAATCCGTGTTGCTGTCAGACTCCGTCCCATAAATAAGAGAGGTGAGTTGGTTGCCAGGAGGCAGCAATCATCTATATGTTATGGATTCTCAAAGTTATCTGTATCACTTGAGATCTGAGCGCTGTGCATCGTAGTAATGTTAGGTGTAGATCCCAGAACATCAACCTAGTAATATCTGAAACATTAAGTATACCTGTCGAAGTTGACAGTATAAAAGTATTTTCTGCCAGATAAAGTCTTTGAGGAAATTTTCGCTGTTTTGTGGTATTTGTGAATTTGTGTAAATTGACTCTGCCAATTCTCATACTCTTCTAGTGCATCTGAAATAGCATGAAAGTAAATAATCTTGTTGGACCTATTCCTGGTAGTCCTTGGCCATGCCACAACTATAGCCTACCTGACTAAGAAAAGCTTGGATCACTATTATAATGTTAACATGGAATTAGCCCTCTGTATTCCATACCCATCTGAATTCTGCCCCAGATCTGCTGCAGCTAGATCTGACTGACCCTAATGATAATCCTGAAGTACAGCAACCTAATTTGGTGCTCAAAGAGCAGTGGGGAAAATGTCTGTACATCTTCCTTGAACCTTTCTCTATGCAATCAAGAACTCAAATTTAAACTCATACTGTTACTTAGTTTTTAATTTTCTTATTCTCAAGTCCAGGAGACAGCTATCATGTGGAGCTGGTGTGGCATCCTATCTGCTGTGGTGCTGGCTTCTGTGTGGAACTGTTGTCATAGTTACTCCAAGGCAATAAAACTTTTTGTATTTGACTGCAGGCCTAAGCCCAGAAGTAGCATCAGCCAGGCCTGGGCTGAGTGTGGCATGGTCAATGCTTAGTTCCATCATCAGGTTTTAACAGTTTTCAGTCATAACTTACCTGTATCCTCAGAGTTGAAACATATATTTTGAAACCCCTTGAATCTGCCAAAAATATTATGATGTGAATCTACATTTTAAAAGTCAATATATTTATGAACTAGAGAGAAACCATCGTTGGTAGAAATTTTTTGAAAAAAATGGGAGGTCTTAGAAAAATGTCCTATGTACTACCTTGCAGGTATTCTTCATGCTCATATCTGAGTGAGAGTCTTATCATGAATGGTAAACCTTTTCAGTGCCTTTTTCCAGTTATAGAAACCATCACTAATGAATGCTCACTTCTTGCTATAGGATGTGAGGAGACCTTTCTCAAATGGTTGCTTACAAATTGAACACCTTTCCAATGAAATTTTCAAATGGTAGCCAGGGGCAGTGTTTCCAGATTGACATCTGTACCCCTCCCCTGATGCTGGAATCATCACATTTAGTGATGATTGCAAGTTCTTAATTTGAGTTCTTACTATTCATGCATTTAGGAGAGAGAGGGAAATTCCATCATTAGGAAGAAAGAGAATGGTATGCACTGATCCAAAAGGACAAGCCCATTCCCACTTGAAAATTTCATATATGACCATGTAGTGCAAATTATATATGAACATATGTGAAACATATATGGAGTTTGACACAAATCACCTAACATTGTATAAGAATGAAAATATATGATCCCATACATTTTCATGTATTGGCTCATACAAATGCACCATATATGCCATGTCATATCTACAGTACTGAACAAATTATTAGAAATTTCAAGGAAATTCATTTATTCACACTTTGCAAACCATAATAATATCATTTACATATAGTAAGTATTAGAAAACTGTAGATTACACCTCCTACGTCCATTCAGTATTTAGTATGACCACCCTTGGCCTTGATCAGGGCCTCCACTCTCTCTGGCATGCCTCTAATGAGGGTTGAACAGAAATTCCGGATTTCATCTGATCTAAACCAAACCTCTACCAAACGTTCTATGAGCTTGGTTTTGTTGGTAATAGGCACTTCATGGATTCTGTCCTTGAGTATGTCCCACAAAGACTCAATAGGATTCATGTCTGGGGAATTCCCAGGCCATGGTAGTACATGAATCCTATTTTTGTCAAACCACTGGTAGACCTTGCGTGCGGTGTGGCAAGGTGCAGAGTCCTGCTGGAAAATACAGGGGTTATCCTGGAACCAGTCCTTTATTTGAGGTTTTAAACGTGAGTTCAATAAGTCCACATACTTTTCACCATTCATTGTTCCCTGAATAATGTGTAACCGGCTTGTGCCTTGGGTGGATATTGCCCCCCACACCATCACTTTTGTAGGAAATTTCACCGTCTGTCTGAGGCAATCCTCCCTAAATTCTTCTCCCTGTCTTCTACGAACTGTCTGAACTCTGTCATCTAATACTTGAATAGTTGACTCATCAGAAAATATAACTTTTGACCAGTCATCAGCATTCCAGTCTTTGTGAGCAAGCGCCCAATCCAAACGACATTTCTTCATTTTGTCTGTCAATAGAGGTTTCTTCCTAGGTCGGTAGGCATAAAGTCCAGCTTCCATCAGTCTTCGATTAACTGTCATACGATTCACCTTTATACCTTCCTCTTGCAAAACAGATGCAATTTTCCTGCATGAAGCCCTTCTATCTGACTGACTGAGGTGCACAATCTTGCGGTCCATCCGTGGAGTAGTTTTTCTCTTTCGACCACATTTTCCTTGGCGCTTCACTGCCAGATCACTGCCAGTACTCAAGAGTTTTTTTATTCTGCACACAGATGCTGTTGACACTTTCAGTTTTTTTGCTATTTCACACTGGCTCAATTCACTGTTTTCGAGTAAAACCTGAATTTGTCCTCTTTTACGAGGACTCAAATCGCTCGTTTTACCCATCAGGGGGTTGGTAAATTCAAAATTTCTGATACATTACAAACTTTTGTCCAACAACAAAGAAACAAGAACGAAACTGAATATTTATTGGATACTAGGCTGAAGTTTCATCCATATCACCCGCTCAGATACCCCACAGCTAGGGTATTTCAAAAATCGGAGGTTTCGCTTAGAGATTTCTAATAATTTGTTCAGTACTGTATGTATGGTGAGATTACCTGAAACATGCCTGTATCTGAAAAGGGTCCATAATGCATCAAATACTTTATAATCATTCATATGCAAGTCACCATACTTGCAATCTACTCATTTTTAATTGTTTATAGATCACAGTCAATTACTCCAAGAACTCATGTTTCAGGGTATTCAGCATATGCACTCTTGTTAATGAAGGTGAAAGTTTCAATATTAAAAACTTGAAGCTTTGCAAATATTTTCATCAGTATGAAAATATTTGCATATACATATTTCATGACAAAACTTTGCTTGCTCATGTAGGAGTGTCTTCTTCATTTTGACTGACAACTCACAAGATAGATGGGAACAAAAACTATTTCTTTCAGTAATAATCCAATGATGGAATTGTTCAATGATGGCATGGCATATGCCCCCCACTTTACAACAAAAAATGCATTAGTATGAAAGAAAAGCCAACATGCATGGTAACAGTGTCCCAGAGGTCCTGTGGCCCCTTCCCCCCTCCCACACTTTTTTCATCTGCGATACACTTATGCTACCTAACTAGGGAGGGCAGGGCCCAGTTTGAATTCCCAAAGGAAATTTTCCAGCTGGCAAAGAGCTGAAAAATGGTAGATACAGGTTGTTTTACAGCTGAAAATTTACCATTAGAATTTTATACAGAGGACTCTCCAGTTGGAATACAGCTGAATCTACAGTTGAAATTCAGTTGCTTCTGAAAAGTGGACTTCCAACAAGAATAGCCAATAAAAACATTCGCATTCCACCAGTATTGCAATTAGGAACAATCTGGATCTGAATTTATTTTTCATCTGCTACCCGGTTGGGATGGGTCTGAATTCCCAACTAGGATTTTAATTTGTGGGGATTCAAAATAAAATTATTGGCAAATTATTTTAAAGGTTACACATAGCTAATATTTCATGTAAAATATGATGGGTGCATTAAAAATTAGTTGTAGAGACATCTGAAGATCAATTGCCCTCGTGTGTAACAACTTCATGCAGTGTTGTAATTTCCAGGGAGGGGGCAGGGGTTGTGGCTGCCCCCCCCCCCCCCCCCCCCCTGGCATCCCTGGGACAGGGCTTGGTGCCCCCACTCTGCTGCCACCCCCCCCCCCCCCCCTCCCCCCCTGGCATCCCTGGGACAGGGCTTGGTGCCCCCACTCTGCTGCCCTGTCCCCCCTGACTCTTCAGCCAATATACACCACTGACCTCATACTATGTTTTACTTACAACCATAAGACTTGTCTATGGATATTCACCACATATGAAACATGATGCCATTTGCCCGTCACACTTAATATAGCAATACAGGTAAAATATATTATACACCATGCAATTGTTAATATATGAATACATATATCATGGTGGTACATGGCAAATATATGATCATACATGACCATATAGAATCATACACCCTGTCATACATGGAATTTTCTTGTGGGTTCCCATTGATTGAATCAAGGAAAATTGTTTTTTCATTATATTGTGTCAGAGTCATCCTGTTAACATTTTTCTTGTATACCCCCCAGAAACTGAAGAACTTTTGGCATATTCAAACCTACCTGACCAATGATTTCTTAAAATAGGGAAAGTCTGACACTGGCCATAACTCATGAGAAAACTAAAACTTTTTTTTCATGTGGTAGAAAATAGGAAGAGAAGCAAATAAATTGCAAGCCCCTACCTCTTAGATTGCCTATAACATGTCCTCTATGGACTACCCCATCCCACATGCTTCACTATGATGGAAGTATGTAAGGGAAACTTTGTAAGAACATCTCTCTCATGTAGTTATACCTCAGCTGCTTGTGTGCTTGTGGCTTGTATTCATATGAAATAGCTCCATGCCCAGTGGTGTGAGGGAGGGGGGTGGGGGGGTTTCAGCCAAGTTTGGTTACAGTCCCCCAACTTTGGTCTAAATGGATCTGCCACCCCCACCCTGTTCTGCTTAGCCCCCCAAAAGGTAAAATCCTGACTACACCACTGTCTGTGCCATAAATATGCATTTCTGTACATATAGGCCCAATCTGTTCAGATCAGAATCAACCTTTTGTTATCTTTTGACACATTCACTCTGTTATAAGTAAGGATAGGGTAGTCAATTGGCCACCTATAAATATTCCTTTAATGATTGCTCTTTTTTTTTATTCAGTGAATTAATACATTTTATAAAGGTTATAACTGCAGTCGTTAATCCTCCAACGCCAAAACCAAAAGGGCCAGTTCCTATATAAAGTTATATTCATGCAGCCTGCCAAGCATATGGACTGCTTACACCCATTGGGTGTAAAAATAATATAGCAAATATTTGAGCTACCATGACCTCTCACCTGAGTGGTGTAGAGTATGCGTACAGGCATAGCCTACTGTTCAAGAACTTACAGCCTTAATGACTTTGAAAGTTAAGATTCAAGATCTAAGTTAACTTTAGAACTTTAGTTTAATGCAATGTCTATTATAGTTTTGGCCAATAGTCTACATCAGAGCATAAAATTATTTGCAGTCTGTGATCAAGGGACGAGTACTTAGATTATATCTAGACCTTTGCTTAAAAAAATTAATCTAGCTATGAAGAACTTCCTTGAGCAAGGCAGGAATGGAAATAAAACTAATGCTAGAAACCATGAAACTGCAGTTCTGGACACTATGTGTTCCATTCCTAATTATGCAGAGTACTTATGGAGCTACTTAGTTGTACAGGGTGTTCGAAAAGTCACTGTGCAGTAGAATTCATTTATTTTGTTGCATGTATTTATTATTGTACTACGTATCACATGTATTGCATCGTCAAAGACATGAATTTCCACTCAATACTTCATCAAATATTAGCACCATCCATGATTCACATAATTTATTGTCTGTAATTCCTAGCTACAGTGAGGCCTCCTACATCATGTCGTGAATTCTACTGCACAGTGTTTTTTTGAATACCCTGTAGAATTTACCGCTGAGATTACTGTTTTGTGTTCAAATTCATGTAATCTGTACAGTAAAGACCAGTCAACATGGTCATTTATGATAATATGCAGTCATGAGGGCTATCTACTTGTTCAGTTTCTTGACCATTATTTATCTGTAAATGGTCAGAAATGACCATGTTGATCAATCAACTTCCCATACATAGTCTATCACTCATAAGTTGTGACACATAAATGAATCACAAAGTGTGCTGGAAAATAAGAAACAAAATGAAGGTTGACTTTATTGACCAAAGTTGACAAAAATGACCAGTCAATTGACATGTTTATAATTGACTGGTCAATAACCCATCTCTAGTCATTAGGCACTTGTGTTGGATGTGTGTATTTGGTGCATCATGAGCAAGGGGGTCAGAGAGAGGGGGGTAAAATCTTGTGCATATGATTATGTCAGTGAAACGTTCCACTATAAAAGCAGACACTTTGGCCCACACCATTTCACAACCTCCCCGGCTAAGACCAAAACAGGTCATATGCACTCTCTCTGTCGTCTCTTACTCATAATTCCATCTACTTGTGGTTGTCTGAGCCACCCTTGATAACATTGTACATATATTACTCATCTATTTGTTGATTTCGTTTATATTCTTTGGTTCCTTACATTCATTCTCTTCATTGCATTTGTTAGTTATGAAGGACAGTGGCAAGGTTTGCATTGTCGCATCCTGTAAAAATACTTATAGGAATCGACATGCAGAAAATTAGATATGCTTTTGCATGCTTGTATCACTTCTCTGATTCATATTTTGGTGAAAATCCTATTAGGCACTTGAAAAAAGATGTTGTTCCAACAGCGAATTTGGTTTTTGAACCAATACCTTCTCCCTAATTCACCTGAGACGGTCCATTTCAACACACGGAGGACCAGCAGGTCTCCTCATTTCTTGCGATTGTAAACAATGACATAAAATCATCACAACAGAAGACGGTTTAGAGGACGATATAGACAGAGAATCATCAAATCAGTCTTCATTTCAGTCTGACCACTGACCAGGCCATTCCTCAAAAGGATGAGAGCATGTAGAGGATTTCGCAGAGGATGGTGGACTTATATCTGATATGCCAAACAATGAGGTAGCCACCACTGTGAACATGGAGAAGGATTCATAATGTAGCTAGTTTAGTAGCTTTCAAGCTTCCTGGGAAAGTCCTGGATCTCAGTACATCTGTTGCTAACGATAATGTTATAAAAGGTCTGTCTGAATCTCTTCAGAACATAAACCCAAATATCCATCCATTGCCTATCAGGACCTTCATACATACTAGAGCTCTCATAAGACACAGACATCTGAAGAGGGTAAATACAATGAGAGTGAACCGGGATCATGAGGAACGAAAAGAGAAAAAGTTGAGAATGATGTTGACCTGAAAAAGAATTTTCATGACACCTATGATCCAATGAGTAATAGCCGGACATCGAATCCACAAAACCCATTCCAAAAAGAAAGAGATTTTCAGTGTATAGGGCATTTCCACAAGTTTCAGATTTCGCAATGTCATGCTCTTGCACAGGTTCCCATGCCACAGACGCACTTTGCTGCCCTGTCTACTTGCACAGCATACCTGAGAGTGCAAGGTGTTCCACCCCCTCAAAAACTCGTTTCTGCGCAGATCTAAGAGGGGTCTCTCTGACCCCCCCTGATCATAAGGCATGGATGACTCATACACTTTAATTAATTCATTTATAGGGTGTCTACAAATTTCAGAATCATTATTTTATGCCAACAGATTTCAAAATTGTGCATAACACATCCAGGTAAGAAAATACAAAATGTATAAAATAGTGAATATGCTGAAATTTCATTTATATTAGAATCAAGGAGTTGGTATTGAAAATGATTCTAAAAATGGACCAACTTGATCTGCATGAAGCCCTACCACAAGAAAGGCTCCATTGTAAATGAGTTGTAGGCATAGCAATCTTAGAAATATATGCCAACCTGATAAAATAGACTTATTTCTTTTTCATGTTGATGCTGTTTCCTTGCAGAACTTGAACTGAAGTCACAAAATATTGTGAAGATTGATGGCAGCCAGGTGACATTGAATCATCCTAGTCAAGGTTCCAAGCTGGAAACTGGGTGAGGACATGAATATGAATTAGCTCTGGATTAGTATGTCTAAAAAATAGACCAGTAGTACTCTCTTTGGCATTTTAATTTTACCTTATTTTTGGAAGGCCAAATGCTTTCCTGCAATCTGCAGCGAAAGTAGACTTTTTATATATTATTAGGGAAGCACTTTTCATAATAAATCATGACCATTTTCTTTCCTTCCAGGAAACGGGGAGCTAAAGTGTTCACCTATGACCACTGCTTTGATTCGTCTGATCCAGACATTCCATCCTATGCATCTCAGGCAAAAGTTTATGAAGCTCTGAGTGAGGCTATTCTCAACAATGCATTTCAAGGATATAATGCTTGCATCTTTGCCTATGGACAGACAGGCAAGTGATTCTAATCCCTTTTCCATTATTTCTATCACATCATTGTCCAGAGCATTTAAAACATGAGTTTTCACTTTCCAGGGTCTGGCAAGTCATATACTATGATGGGCACAGAGTCCCAGAGGGGTTTGATACCTCGATTGTCTGATGACATTTTCAAACGAATCCAAGATTCTAAGGAGGAGAGTTTTTGTGTAGAAATGTCTTACATGGAGATTTATAATGAAAAGGTGGTTGTCAACTGCAGTTTTCAGCTAGAGTGGTAGTTTTAACTTTTTTCACTTCACTGGATGAAGTAATATTGTATATGTTGTGGTGTTTTCTTGCAGGTTTATGACTTGCTCAATCCTAATGGTTGCACATCACCACTGAGAGTACGGGAACACAATATATTGGGACCATATGTTGTGGACCTCTCAAGTCATGCAGTCACCTCATTTGAGGTAAAAGTCATGTTTTTGTATTCATGTCCTACTTTTACTTGAATGTGTGTTTCAAAACTGGTAACAGCAAAAGAAAGCTGAGAGGATTCAAATGAGTTGTCATTTCATTGGTATAGGATGTGGAGCACCTCATGTCAGAGGGGAGTAAGGCTCGCACTGTAGCAGCAACCAACATGAACAATGAATCTTCACGATCTCATGCCATCTTCACCCTTGTGATTACTGCATCTGGGGCCAAACAGGATGGTGGGCTCATCATTGGTGAAAGAGTCTCTCGAGTGTCACTTGTTGATTTGGCTGGGTCTGAAAGAGCTTCAAAGTCTGGCACTGTGAAGGACAGACTTCGGGAAGGCTCTAATATCAATAGGTATCTGCTGAGAATCACTTTCTGATTGCTTTCCTCAGTCTCATGAACCTATCACTCATTTTCTGCAAACTTTGTTCATTATTACATAAAAATCATTTACAGTGTAGCAACAAAATTTAATATTTTAATTTCATGAATTTCACAAGGCATAAGGAATTGAAAAATTTTTCTCTGAAGCCCTTCATCAATTTAAAAATCCTCAGAGCTTAGCATGAGGAGCTAGTGCCTTTTTCTTTATGTTTTGAGCTCTTTCAAATCATTCAACTTCTCTGTGTAAGAGGAGTGCATGTGGAACACAAAAGAATCAAGAAATGAAGCTCCAGGTTTGCCCCTGACAACTCTTTGAGTGACAGTCCCCTTGCATCCCCCATGGATGGGGAGGAGAGCAGGATGTCTCATTCCAAAGCATGGACAAATTGTCTGTATATACAGTATGGTCCAAATAATGAAATTTTTAAAGAATGCAAATTTTAAGATTTTGCATGATTATATCATAACAAAATTTTGCTGCTACACTGTATATTTTTAAAATGAAAATTCACTTTTCCCTCTTTTTTTTTTGTCAGGTCTCTAACAACACTGGGTTTAGTGATATCAAAGTTGGCAGAACAGCCTACAGCAAAAACCAAAGATATCTTCATACCCTATAGAGACTCCTTACTCACTTGGCTCCTCCGAGTGAGTTTGTTAAACAAAGCCTGTTTTAAATGGAATGACAGGGTATGTCAGAAAAAAATTAATAAAAAATATGACCCCATATATCTCCACTCCTTCTGGCACAATTTAAACCAAAGTTGGAGTCTTTTGCCTTGCATTGTATTTAAGCAAGACTGAGGATTTTAAGGGAGACAGCCCTTGTCATTCCATTTGAAAAGTGCTCTGCCCTTCTCAGATATTGGTGTTCCGGTGCATCTCATCTGCTATGTTTTCTGTTGATCAGGACAGCTTGGGTGGTAACAGCAGGACACTTATGATTGCAACCATCTCACCATCTGCTGATAATTATGATGAAACTCTGTCTACCTTGCGATACGCTGATCAGGCTAAGAGGATTGTGAACCATGCAGTGGTTAATGAAGATCCAAATGCACAGATAATTCGGAAACTTGAAGCTGAAATTGAGTTCCTCAGGGAGCAACTCACACATGCTACTGTGAGTTGATCCATGGCAATAGTAGTCTTACCTATCTTCATTGTGTTTATCGGCATTATCTGCATGTAAAATATTTCTAATATGAAATGCAGTTGCACTCAGTACTACTGATTTTGCTATCATCCATAGCATTGTCTTTTCCATACAAGTTCTCTTTTCCATGATTATGGTAGGTGGAGAGTTTGAGCTCATTAAATGATATGCAGATATAGGGTACCTGATAAATAAACTCTGCAACTTAAAAAAGAAGACTCTCTCATAGTGGACATCAAAAAGACACATCCTTATGATGTTTCAATTTTTAGGGCAATCATGAGATTAAGCTGGCAGTGTGAAGACATACAAGGTGCTCCAAAAAAACTTCTTAAGTGCCATGCACTTAAACTTAATATATGATGGAAAACCTTGATATGCATGTAGCTGACTTGTTCTATCTAAAATTATGGTTTTTCCCTTGGAGAAGAGAGAAAGAAACTTCACCCTTGGTGAACTTAAGAGATTAGGTTGAGGAATGATATCCCTGAAGTGTTTTCCTTTTCACATCCAACAATGGTGCAAGGGGCTTAGACATCCTCCTCCAAGTACTGAAGAACCTATACATGTTAGGGAGCAGGAAGTCCCACTTTGTACTCACACATCAAACAGCTTTCATTTTTTGTTAAGCAAAAGAATGTGCTAGTTATGGGGCAAAATTCTAATCCTGATGCTTAATAGTTGTGGAGAAAAAAAGTTTGCATAAAATATGAATGATGATTCAAAATATAATATAACCTAATGTTTTCTATGGAAAAAGGTAGCTTTAATTATGCAACCAAAAATTATAAGTATAATGAATTGTCAATATTGGAAAACTGTAAGGTGTCCAATTGAGAGTTACGGTTTCATTGGTATTCTTGTCTGAGCCATACATCGCCTTGTCACACAGTTTATAGGTGGATCATTCCATCACGTGATTGCCAATAGTCTATGCTTGACCATCTTAGAATTCAATTAAATTTGGCATGGTGTTGAATTATGATGAGAATAGCTTGTAGACAAAATGGTGGGTCTCTGCAGCAAAAGTAGGGTAATTTATCTAGGGGTTTATATTTGCTATTTGCCACAAAAAATTACCTTATGTTTCCAGTTTTTCAGCTTTTGCTATTGACCTCATGGGTCAAGCCATTGATTTGTTAGTAATTACCAACTGTCCAATTTCAAAGAATCAAAATTATGCTAGATTCATAGTGCTTCAAAATCAGTTCATATATTGGTTTGAAGATGGATGGACTTTTTCACCCTAATTTGACAGAGGTGTAGTAACTATTACAGAGAAAATTGGGAGTTTTTCTAATTATTAAAAACTTTTAAGGGAGAAGTTTTGCTGCAAAATAGACAAATTAAACGTGTGTTAGCACAATGTTTAACATGTCTGTTTTGCAGCATTTTTTTTGTTTTAACATGCCTTAAAACATTAATGTGTTAGCATATTTTCTTATTATCTTTTAGATTTAATGCTGCTCTTTTTAGACAAAGAGCAAGGAAATTAGCATCTGAGAACTTGCAGTTAATATCTGCCACTGTAGCTAATTTCAAACCCCAGTATCTTAGCCCTGTTTGCCATAGAGACCCAAGGTTTTGACTGAATGCAATTCTCCCATGATTCTTACTACTTGCTAAACTTAATTGTATTCTGAGATGGTTGAGCATTAACTATTGGCACACTTGCAGTAGAATGATCCACCTATTTATTGTATGACTGAACCAATAGTACTGACAAATCCTAACCTTCATTCCAACATATAGTTGCCTTTCAATGTCGATTGCCTCACTAACTTGTCAGTGTTAGCTGCATAAATTGAAGCCACCTTTCTCTCATAGAAATGATTATTTTTTTCTTTTTCTTTTTAAAACACTCTATTTACAGGCCTTAAATTACTATTAAAATTGATGAAAATAGGAATCAGAAGAGATGATTAAGGATAATTGATGATATAGTTATAAAAAAGTTTCTTCATCATTCAAGGTCTTTCTAAGTGAATATTTCTTGTTTAGTTATTCCTCTTCATCTGCAGGTGTGAAAATATCAGATTTGTCAGTTTAGATAATATAAGGTTTACAGGGTGCTCTGTGATCTGATCCTGTTTGCTTTTTCTTATCTCAGCAAAAGTCAGACCTTCAGGAACGACTCACAGAAAGTAAACGTCTTGTCGAAGAAGCTAGTCGCACATGGGAGGAGAAGTTACAGAAAACAGGTCAGTCTCCTGGCAGTCCAAGGACTAGTTCTTGAAAGAGCAGTGCTACAACTTTTATAGCCTTATAAAAAATCATAACTCTACCATGGTTCAAGTTTGATTTCTTAAAAACCATTTCTGCGTCAGTGTAGAATCTACTCTCATGAGCCTACTATGCACGAGTGCAAGAGAACTGAAGAAGTTCAACAATACTGCAGGAATTCCATGATATTGTGGACCTTTCCCAACAGCCAGCCATGACCATCATGATCACATGGTCCTTCTTCCTTACATGCTAAATTTTTCCCTAAATATACTATCATCAGTGGCTCTCATCACTTGAGCAAGCTACATGTTTGTGTTCAGTAATATTGTAGTCATTTCATGATTGAAGATACAATGAAGCAAGGGACAAGGAATTCCAGTGACCATGAAGCATTTCTTCATGATCATCTTCTCTAAGTCTTGTCTGCACAAGGTCTTTTTGTGACACAAGCAGGCAAGGACCAAAATTGTGAGAAATTTTCCACTAAAAGCAAATCAAAAATGGAAAAAATTCATTTATGGATCCATGGATAACTGCCTGTAAAAGATACATTAAATGTAGAACATTAAAAAAAATTGCCAGAGAGTAATGCAATAAAATATTCCATGGGGAGTCCAATGGGAACTCCCATTGCCCAGATAAGGGTTAACGACCTAGAATTCAACCATCTTTCAACCACATGGGGAGGAACAACATAATTCAGTCACTCAGAAAAAGAACCAACTTTATCATTGTAAATCTATCTTGGGAGCCATTTTCACACTTTCATTTCATAGTTGCCAAATGTCAAACTCAAACTCCTTCTGTTCTGGATACCTCTGTTTACATAATATCATATATCAATATTGTTAGTTGATACAACAAAAGTTGTCCCTTTCTAGGTAGAAATCATCCATCCCAAACTATGACTGAGGATACACTTACTATTTGGGAAATGTAAAGTTGTTTGTATTGTAAGTTATTTATTGTTACATAAAGCATAATTTAGTTTATTTTTCAAGAAGCAGTATAGTTTCTACACTGTGTAAGTAGAAAGTAACAAAATGCATAGCTTTCTGTCATATAAATAAGAACCTCCCTTATGTCTGACCTTGCTCTGAGAATCTGTCTTAGTGTGCAAATTATTATTTATCCTTTCTGTTTGCTTATATTCAGAGCAAATTCAGGCTGAAAGAACCCAGGCATTTGAGAAGTTGGGATTCAGCATCCAGAACTCTGGGTTAAAAGCGGACCATGGAGCTTATTATCTAGTCAATCTCAGTCCTGACCCTTCCCTGAATGAAATGCTGGTTTATTATTTGAAGGTGAGCTTTATAGCAAGTGGCTACCAGCATTTTAGCAGTATGTCTCTGCTTGAAGGTATTGTCTTTGGTCTCTGCAGAATGGCACAACAGTTGGAAGAGCGGATGCTTTCCCACCTCCAGACATTCAACTGAGTGGACTGGGGATACAGTCACATCATTGTACTCTCTCTATTGAAGACAGTCAACTATGGCTGATTCCCAATGAAGGCGCTCTTTGCCATGTTAATGGTAGTCTTGTGAATCAGAGAACCTCTATACGGCATGACTCTCGGATCCTTTTTGGCCTTCATCATTTCTTTAAAGTTAACTGTCCAAAGGTGCTTGGTGGTAAGAAGTCTTCTTGCATTCATTCTTTTTTTGACCTCATGTCTTAGTTCTCTCCATTACAATGTCTGACAGAAAATGGGGAAGCCACAGGTGTAGAGGGAAAAGATGACACACTGCCTGTGCTGGATTATAGTTATGCAATGCAAGAAATAGAGATGGCAGAACATAATTTCGATCCTGTGAAAGTCATCCTGACTGAACTGGAGAAACAGCACACTATGGACAAAAATGGTGAGCCACTGGAAATTGTATGGTGCTGTGACTTATTTTTGTGCTGTAACCCAAAATAATGATGATTAATACTGTAGTGAACAGTCTGTGTGAGGTTCAGTATTTTCTAAAGTCCTGCAGCAGAAAATCTAAATTAATCTTGACCATCTTGAAGGGAATGTTGTTTTATAAATGGTTTATCTATTTTTGCATTACCTGTACAGTGATTAAAAGACTTAATCAGTGCCTAGATAATTTAGCTGATTTTCTTCAGATAACTGAAAGTCTTGCAGAGGGTGCCAGTTGTTGGGACAAACTCTCTGCTACCTCATAGACCAGATGCCATTATCACCTAATGGAATATATATAAACCCTTTGACCAAAAACTGATAAATTGATCAGACTGATGTTGGTAATTATGGCTGGGAAGGCACTTGTCAATATGAACTCACTGAATGAGTTGATCATGGTAGTTAGCTTTGATTCATGACCTCCATTTCCTAGAGACAAGATCCCTATACAGAGAAAGTGCTTCATAGCCGATCACAGTGACAAAACGTGATGCACTGCATCAATCCAAAATAATGTATTTTCAATTCAAAAAGGAATTGATGATGCCTCCTTTCTGTAGCTGCATTAGCGCAACAGAAGGAAGATTATGAGCGCCGCATTCAGGACATGCTGACAGGTCTATCAAGCACCAATTCCTTGGCATTTTATGGTGAGGGAACTGGAAACATCTACAGATGTCTGAGTCGCAGTACTATTTATGGCAGTAGTTCATCACTATCCAAGTGGAACAAGGAAAGGCATGTCCCCTCATTTTACTTATTTCTAAATCTGCTTTGCATTTCAGGTGGGAAGTGAAGATTGGATGTAACATTCATAGTTTGGTTCTTATTTTTCCCTTGAAGGGATGAGAATTTCGTAAGGAGTCTGGCAAAGCTCAAGGAGGAAATCATCAGAGCAAAGGCCCTGACTCGAGAAGCCAATCACCTCGCTCAGGAACTCCATGCCAAGGCTTCTTTCTCCCTCACTCTTCAAATTCCTATATCAAATCTCACACCTCACAAGCGGGTGAGCCATTTGCTGCTTTTATATCATAATTGAAAAACTTGGGTTGTTCCATTCATTTGCTGTTGATTCTTTCTTCCCCCTTAGAAAGGGTCCCTCATGAGTGAGCCAGCCATAATGGTGCAGCGACTTGGGAAGTCTAGTCAAGTTTGGACAATGGAGAAGTTTGAGAATAAACTGGTTGATATGAGAGACCTCCACCAAGCACAGGTAAAAGTTTAAAATACATAATTACAGGAATCAAAGGTATTTGATTGCTTAGGCACCCTGTTGACCTTCATTTTCTCCTCTTACAGGGATGTTTAGGAGAAGTTGGGAGGGACATCTTTGATTGGGAAGATAGTCACACATTAATTGGGGTTGGAAACTTTTTCCTGGATGTTTTGTTTCATGATGGCATTCTACTGGATCATGAAGTTCCTATTATCAGTCAGCAGGGAGATGTTGCTGGGAAGCTCCTGGTGAGTTGTAGATGTCTTTTTTTTAATGGACCATCCTTTGGAGTGTTGGTTCCCAGACAGCTAGGTATCCACTCCCACTGTTGGTCATTATTTGCCACTTGATATTAGCATAGCATTTTGGCAGATGGAGGTGGGTCGTATTGAAGGATCAATGCCTTCAGATCGAGAAAATGAAAGCTCATCTGATGATGGTGCAACATCAGATGATGGAGCTTCCAAGTGCAAGCAAATTACTATTCAAGTGAGTTTACATAAACTGTGCTCCTCAGGTTAGGAGTCAAATGTAAACTTGTCATTTTAAATAATCCTGTCTCAATTGCCTCAGGTATGCATCAAGAAGGCTTCAGGATTGCCAGCATCTTTATCTCATTATGTCTTCTGTCAGTATTCTGTCCCAAAAGCCATCCCTGGGGATCCAATTGTTGTCCCACCTGTTGAAAGTAGTGTGGTTTCTCAGGGACTACAGAATTCTTTCTCAATTCAAAATCCACGAAGGTATGATCCTCATCACAGTACTGTCACATTCATGATGAATTCTTTGCATAAATTGTTGGCTTATGGTTTATTTTTTCTTATGATTTTGAAGGTCACTTATGCCTGCAGTGGCACCAAGAAGTGTTCATGATCATTCTCTTGCTTCCATGACCACTTTTCATTTTGATCATGTACAAGACTTCCAGATTCAAATTACTGATGAATTCTTGGATTTTTGTATGGGTGAGAACTTTTGTAACCTCTCATTCATGATTTCTGTATCTGTTGATGATATTTGGGCTCTTCCTTTCTGTATTGAAGATGAATTCATAAAGAATCCCATAATTTTTTCATGTGTTTTTGTTTTTCTTCTTTCGTAGATGGAGCTTTGAGCATAGAAGTTTGGGGTCATCAAAGTGCAGGATTCTCAAAGGACTCTTCTATTTTGGATTCAGAGAACTCTCAACAGGTACTGCAGGCCCACTCCCTGCGAGACCGTTGGAAAGATGTCAAGAGGCAGCTCCAGCTTTCAGTGGAGATTCAAGAATTGGATGAGCAGGGCAACTATTCTCCTGTTGAGGTGCTGTTACTCCTCCATTTCTCTCAGTGATCAATATGAAGATCTGCTTGCATAATAACCTAAAGCATGCAAGTAAATATTCTTGGAAAAATGCCAAAAATATAGGAGAAAATTTTCAAATAGGAGGAATGTTATACAAATTGGTGCACTTTCAGTACTTCAAGAAAATGATGAGATGCAACTATTCCTATCACAACTGGTGACAGATTGCAAATTCTTTCCTTATTTTCTATGCCTCATCACAACATATTTTTCTGAAACTTGGCAGTCCATGTTTAAAATTTGAATCCTCCTCATGAAAAATGGATAATTGTGATGAATCTAAAGAGCACAGGTATGCTTTTGAAAGAATTCCACTCTAGTGAATCAGTCATGGTGGACAATATTGTGTGCTTTCCTATAGATAGAGGAGCAGAAAGGTGTTGTGACTGGTGGAATGGCTCTTCTTCGTCAAGGCCAGCAGCGAAGATTGCTTGTGCAGGTGAAACCTGTTGAGAATTCAGGGACCCTCCCACTTGTGTGTGAGGAAATTCTGGGTGTGGATATTGGCAGTGTCACTCTCAGGTGCTATATGCAGGCATCTTTTCTATCATTATGTCTACTTGTTCTGATTCTTATGTACATGGTAAGTTAATGTGTTGCAATTGTAGAACGAAGCTACAGAAGCAACTCGACTCTTACCAAGAGGAAGATCTCCGGCTGCTCAGGGAAAAGTGGAATGATGTCTTACTCAGGAGAAAAACGTACCTGGATTGGCAGCTTCAGTCTCTAGTCAACAAGAAAGGTACTTCATATCAACACCTTGCTGTAGTGATTGAGCCTATTCATGCATTGCATTCTGTAATTTGATAGATAAATCAGATGAAGACATTCGGAGAGAGAGGCAGCTGATGAACCAATGGGTAGCATTGACAGAGGAAAGGAACGCTGTCATGATTCCATTGCCCGGGTCTGGTATACCTGGTGCTCCCATCCCACCTGATTACACTCCTCAACTTGGCATGGAGAGACATATCCCTGTCCTCTTCCTTGACCTCAATGGTAAGGAAAGATAGAGCATATTAACACTTGATGAGCTTATTATTCTTCTACTTAATACTAGACATGATTAGGATTCTGAGTGTTGATTTGTGAAACATACATTTTTAGTACTTAGTCTCTTTGTAATTATTAAATTAGGCAAAAATGTTTAAATATCTGATAAAGTCATAATATAATCTATCTATCTACAGGGTGGCCACATAGTCCCTTCACAAGGAAATCACAGCGTGTCTATACGTTGTCCTCCGTTTTCCGCACATTGTTTGATCCTTCCCCATGTTCTTTTAGACATCTTCTTCCACATGGAAGGCTGAATATCATGGAAGCAGTAACTCATGACTGTTTTGAGGTCTTCAACATTTGTTAGGTGCAGTTGGGAAATTTTTTCCTTCACGTTTCCCCAAAGTGGATTATCACATATTTTCTGGTCTGAGCTATGAGGTGGCCATGTCATATCTGATCCTCATCCATTCCATCTTCCACTTTACGTGTTATTGATTTTTGTGGCGATCTTGAACAAGGTGATTGAATCATTTCCACGTTAACATGATGCCGGACAATCAGAACACTTTGAATCAAATACACTTCCTGTTGAGAAAGCCTTTTCCTCCCATGTCCATAACATTTCATGAGAAGGTGCAGGCTTACTGAACCTCTCCAAAAATAACGCCCTTATGTTTATATAACTTTCCATCTCTCTCGCAATCATGAACCCAAACACCGGCAATTAGTTTTTCTTCTATCACATTTACTGGATTTTTAATGCATTTTCTCCAAAAAAAAGCTGCATTATCGGATAATGCTCTGTTCAAAAATCCACCTTAAGGCTTTTAGAAAAATTTTTAGTTTTAGTTAGTTTTTGTTAAGGGACTTTGTGGCTGCCCTGTATACTATATTTCTGAATGTTTGTGTGTCTGTCTGTCTGGCCTTCGTGCACAGCCACACCTCTGATCCCAGTCCAACCAAACTTTCCATGGCTTCCTCATTTGGTCCATAGGCTAGGTGACTTTTCAAAATTCAAACCCCTGAGGACAGGGCTGGCCCAAGTTCAAATGGTGCCCCGGCGGTCGCCTGCCCCTAAATCCAGCCCTGCCCCAGGGTACCTTATTTTGTGCAGTCTATACCGTATTTCTGAATGTTTGTGTGTCGTTCTGTTTGTCCTTCATGCATGGCCATGCCTCTGATCCCAGTCCAACAAACTCTGCATGGCTTCCTTATTTGGTCCAGGGATGGTCATATAGGCTAGGTGGCATTTCAAAATTCAGACCCAAAGGGGTACCTCATTTAGTACATTTTTAGCATTTATTTGGCTGGCTCACTACTACAGACCTCCCCAAAGGAGTCAAAATTTTGGGGGGTCAGTACAATGTTGGAGACCCCATGTTACTAAATAAAATTTCCATTGCACCTCACAGCTAGTAGGTTCATAAGTAAAGTGTGAAACATTGATTTCATCACAGTGAATCACCCTTTTGTTTGAAATGAGAAGCTAGGCAAGCCCAATCTAGTACAGTGAAACCTGTGGATTCAGCCACCTTGATATTATGGCCACCTCATTTTTGCAGCTAGAAATGCTCAGTCTTGATCGTTAGCTCCATAGGCTCAGTGTTAAAATAACCTGTTTTATCCAGCCATCTGTCTAACGCGGCCAATGGCTGAGGATTTGCAGACCTTCTGTGCCAGCCACTCTTTAATCTGGCCAGAACACTGGAAGGAAGATTGCAGATTGATTTCCTTCCCTCGTCATTTCCCTGCCTTCTAGTCTCCCACCTTTCCTCCCGCTTGTTTCCTTTTTTGCTCCCCCTCCCTAATCTCCAAATAGACCCTTTGCTTGGTTGTCAAGGTCAAATCTTCGAGTCCCAATAGTGTCAAAACGATCATCAGAGTGTTGACCTAGTTCTTCCATGCATCTTACGACCTTTCTTTAAGGCCATTGAGTGCCATGAAGAAGCTCAAGTGCCATTTGGCAGAGAATGGGATGGATGCAAGAGTCAGTTGACACGATCGCAAAGCTCGAAGCATCTCTGCAGGAGCGAGTGTACTTATGCTAAATCTAACACATCTGACAAACATTAAAGACCTCCAGACAATCAAATCAGGGTCTTCAAATTTCTGTCTGTGTGCATGAAATAAATAAAATCTAGCAAAATCAGACAACTGAACCTTTTGAGGATATAGTGTGTGTTCAATTTTCTTGGAAAACTTACTGACAAGTACCTCTTAGTTTCCCTAGAGGAAAAATCAGGAAAAAACCTTTTATACCAGTCACCTGTCAGAACCGGCCAAATTTAAAAAAGTCCCCTTGTGGCTGTATTACAAGGGTTTCACTGTATTGATCTGTCTTGCAGTGAGGAAAACCATCCTTATGGAGGGGTAGGATGATATGTAGAATTCCAATATGTGCCACATTATGAATCGAACTAGCAACCCAGTTTTTCCTTCCTTGTATATTCACAAATTCTGAAAAAATGACTTCGTAGGCCATGAAAGTTTGAAAGGAGCTGGTGGCTCTGCTCAATGACAAACTCTCAGGGTATGGGCCATGCAGTCTCATTTATCAGAATCTTGGAAAGATCATGGCTTCTTTTCCCTTCTGCTCACTAAGAAATTTTCACACTAAAATTCATGAAAAGAAGTTTGTTCCAACATTAATTTAATAAAATACTGAACTTATTCTGTATCTTGTCTATGTACAAATTTTTGCAGCATTCAGAGCGATGTTCCTTTTTTGTGATGCATATGATTAATCACAATAAAGCCACAAAAACATGTCCTGATTTTTGCTCAGAAACATTTAGGGTACTTTATAACTGCATTGGCATTCTTGGGTAGAGGGGATGGCCCTGAAAGGTTTTCATGGCTCTCATGTATTTTATTATTTGCAGTCCTTGAGAACCAATGCCTAATTAAATCAAGAAGCACTGAATTATCAATTTCACTGGAACCTCAAGTGCTTTAGTTTTGTCCTAAATTATTTCCTTTGTCTCTTTGTTTTTTCTCCTTATGAGTATAGTTGAGATGCACTTAAAGATAAACAGGAAGCAGACAACAGTGTACCATTTTCATTGTGCTAAAGCACCAAAGCAATTTATATTTTGAGACATCCTTAAAATAGCCCTTCATTTCATCCTTTTGTGACAGATGACATGTGCTTGAATGCTATGGAAGGGGAAGAAGGCGAAGAGAAAGGTATCCCTACAGCTGCAATCAATTCCACAATTCCAAAAGAATATCATAACTCAATGATTCCCCTTCAAATCCAAAAGCAATTGAAAGAGAGTGTTGGTGTCATTGCTTTGTGGGATTCAGCCATCCATGACACGCCTTTCCTCCGCAAGTTTACCAATTGTGAGTAAATCCTGCATTGATGATGTCAAGGCTGTTGATTCCTCTGCTGTCATCAGGATTTTTTTTATTCATGAAGGACATAGAAGGAAAAGTCAGCTTATTGTTCTGAAATAAAATAGGGCTGTACCAGAGGCCACATTTGGCGAATGGTCAATTATGATCTCATTTCTATCAGCTGGTGCTAATGCTAACGCTGGTTGTGACATAGATGAAGAGCAAAGAATCATAATAACAAGTACTAATTCAATCAGGCATAAGAGGAAGCCATGTTCTACTTTTTTTTAAGGCTGTCACGATGACTGTTTTGAAAACAATGTACAGTTGACTCTCATTATAACAAAGTTGATGAAGCCACTGGAATTATTTCATCATATCGGGAGAGAGTCGTATACCTCCCAATTAGAGAACTGAAGAGAAATCATATATACTTGGGTATATATGATTATTATTTCTTGGGTGTACTTTGAGGGCCCCATGACTTTTAAGGGTTTCATGGACAACTGAACTTTAATACCTTCACTGCCACATATCTGCTGGTGGGTCATGTGGCATCATGGTAAAGCATCAGAAATTGCATTGGCAGCTGACGTCCTAACTCCTTACGATTTCATTTGCTTTCTGCAACATTGCCATTGGATGCATACCAAAATGAATTATGCTGGAAAGGGTTAAATGCATAAATGTTTCTACTGTGTAAAGAGCATGGACCTCTTGAAGCCTTGTAAAATGAAACTCACATAGTATCAATGGAAGAATGGGGGCCTGACAAAAGCTGCTGAGCACGAACAGTGAAGTGCTTAGTTCAATTGCTTCTTCCATGTTCACATCCCCTACCATGCACACATTCACCCACATTCACATCCCCCCTATCACATACATTCAGCACGTGCCAAATCCTTGCTTCTCATAGGCTGTACAACTGAAGACAGAGATGGAGGGCAGAATAGAGAGATAAGGACTGACCCTCCAGCACTTCCAGCAAGAGGGAGAAAAACAAATTATTTTGCTCTGGACGGGGGAAATTCTTTATATCCTGCATAGTGTCTATCGTGACAGAAATGCTATCATTGTATCAGAATTCTTTAGCATAGGTGTCAATGGACATTAAGCCAGGCAAAGTCAAGGATTTCAATATAACCGGTTTTTTGTTATATCAGTGTTTGTTATACTGAGAGTCGACTGTATTAACTTGAGCTATAGATGGTGCATCAATGTAACATGAGCAGGGAGGGAGGGAGAGATGCCAGCAGATTCAGTCATCTCACATCACAAGCAGGTGGAGGTTTGAGTGTTATTTCTGCTTTTATTGGACACAGACCTTTCTGTTTTGCCATTTCTCATCTGTGGTTGGGGTGGGGGGGGGGTGTGACCATTGCAATGGGTAATAAAAGGCGTCAATGTCTGCAATTATTGATGACATTAATGCGTTGTGACAGTCTAACTTTTTACCTGTTGCTATTGAGAATCATTTACCAAGCTGTGTTCTCTTAATTTTTTTAATATCTTTCTTTATTTGGCACCCTCTTTGGGCATCAGCATCAGCAGCTTACAAATATGCTAATTGTCAATGGCACCTCTGGTGCCATACAGTGTTTGTGGGTGCATTGACATGGTCCTGAAATAAAGAGAAGCAAAAATTGTATTCCTTGTGCATTGGCCAATTATCCATGTGGAATTGTGTCTGATGACTGTATATGTACTCTGCAGCAAATGATCGCGTTTACCTAATTCTTCGTGCCTACGTGAGGTTGTCCCTTCCAACTGCTATGAACATCATATTGCGGAAGCGCCTATGTGTCCAGATTGTCAAAAGGAGCCACTCAGGAGGATTCTCCAGCCTATGGAAGAAGTTTGGTAGACAGGAACGAATTTCACAACTCTGCATCACCTATGAGATTGTTTCCCGCATTCCAAGGGTAGAACCTGTTCCTGTATTTCCCTATTCTTGGGGATGAGCTTTAATAAATGAGTTTTCTGATTTTACTTGATAGGCTAGTGAAGACTTTGAGGATAGAGAAAGTCTGGCTCAGCTGGCTGCATCCCAAGAAGAAGGTGACTCTGTCACCATTGATGGAGAGACTTATATTGGTCAGTTTTTTGTTCATTTCATCAGATAGGCCTTGTATTGACAGACTTTCTCCCTCCATCTCCTGCTGTTACTTGTTGCATCTCATACCCCATTTTTCTTGTTTTCTTGACAGAGAAATACTCTAAAGGAGTCAGTGCTGTTGAGGGAATTTTGGCCTTGGACAGACTCAGGCAGAATGTAGCCTTGAAAGAAAAACTCCAGGGGCAAGGAAAATCCATTACCAACTTGGATGGGACACCACGCATGCGCAAGACGTTCTCAGTTCCCGATTTCCCCCCAGTGAGACTAGATTATTCAACTGTTGCTGACAGACACAGTTTCAATTTTATTTGTTTCTGCACAGATGATCTAGAAGCTGCAACACTACATAGTACCTGTAATTGGTATCACTATGTAGAGACCTTTGTCTTCACTTTCATTAGAGGCATCCATGGAATTGCCTTACTGCTGCTGACTTTTATTTTATGATTGGTTTTTGAGAACCATCCATATCCTCCCTGGTAATTTGTTTGCTTTGTGGCAGGCAGGGGAATCCTCAGAGAGTGTCCTGAATATGAGTGAAGGCCTGGTTTTTCAGGACTCAGTGAGATTATCTCAGGCTTCTGGACGTGGACTTCCAGTTTTCCTCTCATCACGAACTCTTCCTCCATCTGGTAATGCTTCAGCAACCAAGTTACTTTTATCCTGTAGAGACATGCAATACTAGCATTCAGCTGTTATTAATTACTTGGGAGATGACTGTTGGGTCAAATATAGTGTCAAAGAAGATGCTAGACTGCAACCAACAATAAAGCTTGGTCTGATTTTTTCTATGGAAATTAGTAAATACCCTATATGTCCAGATGTTGATGTTTTCCTCTTAGTGGTCATGGTTGTGGTTACATTTGCATGACAGGGAATGCCAGTCAATGGCATGAAGACTAATTCATCCTTTTTAGGTTTCAGAAACAAACATGTATAAAATTAAGAAGAAAATGATGGTTTGTTTTTTATTTTACCTCAACTTTAGTCTTAGTTACCAATGGTAACTCAATGTGGTAACTCCTTTGATAACTTACCACATAAGAATATAATTATGTTGATAAATAAATAAAATGCCAAAAGCCTACAGGAATCTTCATTCACCAAGTTCTTTCACAGTTTTTCCTTCAAGTCAGCATTTTGTACCAAATAATTCAGTGTGCATCTCATTACTCTCATTATATCTATACAAATACATACTCATAGCATCCATTGTGACATGTATTTCTTTTGTGAATTGGTTAGTAGGGAATTCAAGTCCAGGGGTGTCACAGTTGGTGTCACGCATGACAATACTGCATGAAGAGACTTCAACCAGAACATCTGTTTCAGACGACTGATCCAGCAAAGCACAATTGAACTATCTCATTCGTCAACCTAAGAGTTAACCATTGTTGTTCATGACATGTTCTGAGAAGCAATTTTCAATCCCCCTGTGTAACATGATTCCTTTTTGGGAATGCAGTGCAAAAAGAGGCTTGTTTTATGTGGTGCTCTCATTGGGCAAATTGGGTCCAACTCTAATGAGGTTTTATGGTATTCTATTTTTTAAATTTTCTTACTTCTTATGACCACATATAGTATACTTTTATGTATGAAGTGGAATGAAATATATTGATTGGTGATCTTATCATCGATTCCTATTCCAGTATAGTTCAGGAAATTTATGATGAGGAAACTTGATTATATTTGAGAGATAGTGTTATATGTGGTTAGCATTTCCTTGGAAGCACCTGGTCAGGAGTGCACAACATGTGGCCCAAGAGGACCTTGCCCACCGCCTGCCATGACTGGTGGCATTGTAAGTGCTACTATGGATCCTGCTCTGTTTGCCTCAGCTATAGTCAACCAGACTGCGGCCTGCAGTAGGTGAATAAAAGTCGCAAATGGCTCTCGGCCTTTTAAGTTGTGCACCCCTGCACTAGATCATGTCATTCTTTTTTGGGCTCATGGGCTAACCATGAGGAGGATTTGATCAAAAGTTCCTCAAAATGCTCATGGAAATCAATGTAACACACTATGAAATCTACAAGAAGAACCATTATTTGCTGATTTTGGTGATTTGCTCATTCCATCACTGTAGGGTTTTCTTGTGCAAAGCAGGTTTGTTGAACCTTTAATTATTTTTGAAGTTCAATGCTATGAGTTAGAAATCCCTAAGTTTTTCTGGAAACTGTCTTTGGAAATAGAGGAGAGAACAAAAAAAGTTCAACTTTCTTGGTCCTGTCAACTTTGTGGCTATTAAAGGGGTTAAACTGTTTTCTTCAGTGCTAACGTTCATTTTTTATGTGAAGTTTCCCAAAATTAGCTGCTACATATTGTTTGATAATTATTCAATTGCACAACTTGAGGTCGCCTCTATCCATCCTCAGTAGTTTAGAAATATGTACGTACTAATGCCAATCTGTGACTAGATACTTGCTTTTTTTTTTTTGAAGCCCAACATTTCAACCAGCTGAACTAGGTTCAAGGAGAGAGGAGAAAGTGCACCCTACCGATTTTGACATTTGTTGGATTTGCAAGTTTTTTTGCTTCCCTCAGTGTGATCTAAAAGAGATCCAGGATCATTAACGATGGCTCACGCTAGCGGTCCGGAACCTCAATTCACAGGCTTCAAGAGGCTCTTCAACAGTGAAACGCTTCGGGGACGCGCCAATGTGAGTTTTAAACTGCACTGTCAGGCTAAGTAGGCAGTATTCCCATAGGAGCAATCTTAAATATACTCATATAACCTATGTCTGGAACCATATTGATTTAAAGTAAAGGTCTTCTGTTTGTGCATATCATTCCACAGAGGGAAAAGAGGGTTAGTGCAGAAAAATGTGCAAAGCAAAGCATTAAATCATTTTCATTGGATTGGACTTTTTAATCATTATTGTCGACCTTCTTCCCCTCCCCCCGTCCTCCCGGCCTTCCATTGTAAAAAAAACAACCATGAAAGGACGTATGACAATCTTTGGAACGTCGACCAGAAGTACCTCGCACTTTTCCTCACTTGTCCAACGTGTAAACGGTGTCTTGCGTCAGATTACTGCTATTTTATTTTCTTCAGCATATAACGACTGCAGGTTTCACGATGTGGAAAATTTTCATTAACTCCTGTTCCGTTTCTTTTTCCTTACCAGTCCTCCATAGCCACATTGGTGACCGTGAGTGTGATTGGACTATACTTCGCACTGCGTTCGAAGAAGAAGCAGTGATGGGGCCTAGAAACGTGAATTCCTTTAGGTGTCAGTATAGCACGTGTACCCCGTGCTTCATCTAGATGTCCTCTTTGGCATAGTAAAGAAAAATCTCATTTTTCTTGTTCTTGGCATGTATGTCATCAACTGAATAAAAATTTCGAGTATGAAAACTAGAGGGTAAATTATCATTCCTGGTGTTCTCCTCTTGAGGCTGTAAGATGACAGTGAAGTTACTGGTCCAAAAATCGCCCTCATTGCCTTGCTAAATTACCTTCAAATGCTGTGTGTATAGATGCACTCCTCGGGCATGGTAAGGTTACGCAGCAGGAGAGCAGTGAGGTAAACAAGAAAGAAACGATGAAGTTACTAGTCCAAAAACCACCCTCAGGGCATGGTTACATGACCATCCTGGATGGTGAAGTAACTAGGTTTTTGGACTGGTAACTTCACCGTCATCTTACCTGGTTATCTTACCTTCAAAACGTGTCCGTGGTGACCTCGTCTCTCCTCTGCGCTGCAGCGAAGGTCCTTTCACGAAGTCACACAGACACATTTTGATGGTAAGATAACCAAGTGAGGAAGGTAGCCAGTAACGTCAGCTATCGTTTCCGAGAATGTCAATTTGCGCGAGGAAGTATATAGGAGTCGGAAATTCGCGAATGTCATACCGATTACTGTAAGATGAGGGCAATCTAGGGATTTATAGGCCTACGAGTCTCACGAGCATTCCGGGCAAATCAATGAAAGCACGACAAGGAATTTCTCCATGGGACTCACCCCAGCACGGTAAGAGGAGGCTGTACTACGTGTATCGTCCGAGCGATTATGAAGAATTGTACGATTTGGTAATAGACACGATGGATTAAGGAAATCCCCTTGACATCGTATACTTACACTTCACAGAGGCTTTTTGGTTTCGTTTGTCACAAGAGATAACGTGGCTGATTCGGAGGCATGCGGGGTTCAAGAAAGAATCATCAATTGGATGAGAAGATGATTTTCGGGAAGAGAGCAGAGTACATTTAAACGGGGAAATACCTGGAGAAGTTGGAATCACGAGTGGAATTCCCTGGACACCGTCAAACCACCACTTTTGTCTGTATCTTTCACAATCGTGATCGAGCCTTTGCGGATGAAACGGGCAAATTTCGTCATCATCCAAAAGGACAGACGAGAGTCGAGAGGGACTAACAGCTGCGGAAAGAGTGGAATGAAAAATGGCTCTGAAAGTAAACGCGAAGTTCTTGACGTCGGCCACGATAGCGTTGGATTTCTGCGTCTGGTGAGGAAAGGCTTGGAGAGACAAATGAGAGTCAACTTTAGGGGTTATTAGTCGAGTAGAGGGTGACATTTTCGGATCGTGCCTTGTCGACGGAAGCTAAATGTATTATGTTCTAGTATTTTATTCCGTGCTCAATCTCCAAAAGCAGGTCACAGGTAACCCTTCCGTCGTACGGGGTGTCCCATGCAGAGGAATCCCAGTTAACACGTGCGCATTCAACACATTTTCAAATTTCACTCGTGGCATGACCACGTTCATATTGTTGATGGTAAAAGTTGGAAATGCTGTCCCCCAGCTTCAATGCACCTCCGACATCTCATTGCGTTTAAGAACATTGCAGCTCTCTCACTTTAGTAGCTGTGATTGTGCCGGTATTCGATTATTTTTGTTTGCAGTTTTTCAAGGTTTCGTTCCGCGAACCGCGAACGACTTTCAACCTAAGTATTTATATCTTCCCTCCCAATATCGTTATTTTCGCGAAAGTTTCATATTGCTTATATACGAGTATGTTTCGAATTAATACCTCAAATTTCATCCAAATTTGCTGTGCCGAAGCAATTCTATCAGCAATTATTGAAAATAAGTTAGACATTGAGAATGGACAAGAGTTCTTGCTGGTAGTGCCTCCCCTCCTGCCTTGCCGCCTCCTAGGGACGGGGCTTGAGTGTGTCCTCCACTATGTGACCCCCCCATTCGGCACAACAACGTTGTGTCAACGTTGAGGAAAGGTTTATTATTATTTTTTTAAGACTTAACATGTTGCCACAATGTTGAGAAAAGGTTGAAAGGAAACAGCTCAATGTAGAAAAGTTGCTACTGGGCAACGTTTTGTCAATGTTGAATTGTCAACAAACGGGCATTATAAAACCTCCTCCCTTATCCAGAGTCTGAAAGAGCGTTAAGGTAGGAAGGAACTCAAAAATAGAGGGTCTGGGATTTGAAATTCGGCTTATAATTATTGTAGGGGGTCTCAAGAGGGGTGGAAGGAGAGGTCTAACAGTGACCTCCGACCTATAGTTTTGCTGAAGTTAATGTTTGAAGTTACCGCTAGATGGTCTTTCCTCGGGTTGTAAGGAAATAAACATAACTTTCAAACCCTTTCTTGTAGAGATGTGCAATTAACGTTTTCATACAGCTACATTGCTCTTTTAAATGGATACACATGATTTGTCCTTGAGTGAGAGGTCAAAGGTCAAACAAGTGATTCACTTGGAGAGGTCGAAATTGTAAATATATTTATTCGGCTGCCATTCCGGTCACGGATTCATTTCGTGCAAACGCTAACTACCAAAGTTAGACCATCTACTGGGTGAGTCTCGTGGCAGCATCAAAGTACTTTCCTGAAAAATGGTTCAAAGCATCGTCACAAAACTTGGAGGAATCGAGGTGGGTGTTCCATAAAGTCAGAAGGAAATAAATATCTTCTCGAAATGCCACTCGAAAAATTCACCGACGAAAAAGCGGAACTGGAGAAAAAAAAAAATTCCATTCATGTCATGCGAATATCGGCGTTGAACTTGAGCTCGCGTCATGGAGAATTCCTTGAGCTTGGCAAAGAGAAAATATGCATGAAGATCCGTCAAGCAGTTCGGATCCTATGATCCCCTCAAATATTGCGCATGGAGCTGGAGTCATCCGCCATCATTGAAGAGGATATTCCGACTGCAGATAAGGGTATCAACACTCTCGAAAGACTCTCCTTTAACAGAATTACGGAGGAATTTTCAATATCTCTATTGAGAAGCGAGTAATCCCGTGGGAACATTCAATAATCTCGGCCGAGTCGAGTCAACCATCGAATCGAGTCAACCATCCTTTGAGAGGATGTTCCGAGATTAAATCTGCACGGAAGATAAATGTATCGACATAATCGGAAGACTCTGTTCTAATAGAATTTTAGATTAATTTTTGATACGTTACTTGAAAAGCTAGTAATTCCTTGTGACCCTTCATTAGTCGCAATTTCATGTTCAATTTAGACTACATTTTGGCGAAAATCTCGAAGATGCTCAGACGAAAATTCATGAAATGTTGCATGAGACTCACCCAGCGGATGTTCTAGCTTCGATAATTAGCGTTCTATGACCGGAATATAAATCTGTGGCCGGAATAGCAGCCTAAGAAGCACATTTAAAGTTTGGACCTCTATTCATAAATCGCATGTTTCACCTTCAACCTATGATTCAAGGACGTATTGTTGGTATTCATTTCAAAGAGCAATGTCTCAGCTAAGCGATAGCGCTAATATCACATCTCTGAAGCAAAGGGTTTGGAAGTTATGGCCATTTTAGTATAACGCAGTAAATAGCCATCTGGCGGTAGCTTCAAAAACGAACTTCAACAAAACTGTCAGAGGACACTGTGAGACCCTCCTTCCACTCCTCTTGAGACCCCCTACAATAATAATAAGTCAAATTTCAAGTTTCAGGCCCTTCAATTTGAGTTCCTTCCTACTTTAAGCAGTCGGAATTTCATGGAATAGTGCAATTGACCATTAATCTCATAATCTTGATATTCGAAGGTTACGGACACCTGGACACAAGGATCAGACGGAACTAAGGCAAAAAAATCGATTAGTCGGGCCTATCAAGTCATTTCTTGGACGTACTCTTTTATTTCTAGAGCTGGGATATGCAGAAGCTAAACACATGCGTAGTGACCCAGGCAAAGGGGGAGTGAAGACATAGGGCGGAACAGCCTGAAAAACGCTATTATTAGAGAGTATACTGCATGGCAAAACCTGCACGGATTCTGACGATAAAGGTGTCTACAGAATTGAGAGTCTCTTCTCTAACAGAATTAAGGAGGATTTTTCGCTACTTCAAGTTACTTGGGAGGCGAGTTATGCTATGAAAACCCCCAAAGTCGCGTTTTCCTGTTGATATTTAGGGTACATTTTGATGAAAATCTCGAAAATGCACTGAAGAAAAGACGTACCATTTTGCAGAAGGTTACCTTAGAGCAGTGGTTCCCAATCTTTTTTTATTTATTTATTTTCTGCACGCATAAGAACACTAGAATTTTTCACGGTACACCCAGCCATTTATTTACTTTCAATGGGAAAACTTTTTCTTACTTCGCTGATCACAGCAATTTGATACGAGGCGGAATTGTTGATAGTCCAACACTCAGCTCATTTTCCATTGAGAGAAGGCGTTCCCTCTTCTTGTTCTTGATTGTTGTCAGTGCCAAGAAGTGTCACATTTAGTTTTTTTGTTGTCAACTTTAAAATTTCGCGGCACACTACTCGGCCTTACTCGCGGCACACCGTTTGGGAAACACTGCCCTAGAGTATGCCATGTGGAGATTTAGAAAAATTGAGTATGTCTCCTCGGACCCACAGACCAGAAGTAATTTGAGTTTCCTTCTGCCGTGTTACCTCCTTAAACAGGTGTATCTATCAATTCCTAAACCTTACATTAAGTTGTACATGGGAAAAGATCGGGTACTGTATGAAAATAAAAGTGTAATGGTTATTTCAAGGCACCAGGGTAAGTATCGTTGAATCAGTGGTTAGGCGCAATCTCGCGTTGATTCGTAGAATCTATTTTCTGTTGATACCGCGTGGATAACAATCCACCACACTGAAACAACAGTGAGACTATGGTGAAAAACGAATTTGTGCTTACAGTTTTCCCAATTGCTAACGTCCGTTTCTCAAAACTACACTTCCGTTTTCAAAACAATTTGAACAAATCCCTGAACTCTGCAATTTTTTTCACAAAACGTAACATCCGATTTCATTGCTAACGTACGAAAAACGAAATTGGAAGTGCGATTTTCATATCTTCACGGACCTTTTTCGAAAGTTAACGTACGGAAAAGGATAAGAAGGCCGATTCGACGAGCGCCAAGAATGGATGCATGGCTGACGACTACAATCCATTGGCC